AAAGTGGGTCAAATGGACAGAGGGGCAACACCTCACGTTCCCACTCTGCCATGAAAAGGTTTGCGTACGAAGGGGCAAATCGTTTGCCCATTGCTGTCCCTGAAGTTTGTAAATATGTTTTGCCATTAAATGTGAAATCGTTTCGACTAAGACAAATCTCTAAAAGCTGTAGAATTGCATCGTCGGGTCTGTTTGGATCTGGGTTTCTATTAAAAGCTTTACGAACTGCCGTTAAACCAGTAGTGTTATCGATATTGGTATACATAGAAGAAACGTCGATAGAAATTAAAATAGCATTAGAGGGAACTCGAAGATTTTTTATTTTATTGACAAAATCGGTTGTGTCTTTAAGGTAGGCGCGATGTTGACATGCTAGAGGTAGTAAGAAATGATCAATGTATTCTGACACTGCATATGACTCACTACCACAGTCAGATATAATCGGGCGACCTTTAGGGATTTTATTCGAGATAAACCACTCCTTTGTTGGATTCTTATGGATTTTAGGCAAAGTGTACAAATGTCTCTCGCGACAATCAGGTTTGGCAGACAGGTAGTCATATTGTTTCTGTTTGAGATAACTAGTTTTGACTAAATCGGCAAGAATATTGTTAATCATGTTAGCAGTTTCTTTGAAAATTGGTTTCGGTAAAATGGCATAATGTTTAGGATTATTCAGTTGATTCTCTGCTTCTGAAACATAATCCTCCCTATTCAGAATGACACAACATGAACCTTTGTCACTCTTTTTAATAACAATGCTATCGTCTTTCTTAAGTAAGTTTAACGCTTCACGTTCCACTCGTGTGAGTTTTTTTTTTGCGATTTTGCGTGGGTTTTGAGTTTTAGACTTTCTCAAGAATATCCTATGTGATAGCAGGTAAAAATACATGTTTTGATATTTCATAGCACACATTTTTAGCCGAATTTTGCAAATTTTCTATTTTCTCGTCCATACGTCCGGTTGATTTGAAATTTCTGCTGCCAAAACAGATCACTTCAGAAATCAAATTGGCACAATCAAAAATTTTGCATCACTTTCAGTTTGCGCGAAATCAAAATACTAACTTCCAGTTTACCCACTCCCGTTTTTTATGTATGAAGGTCACTGGAATTTATACTAATAAGTAGATAACGTTATGACTTAAAAAGTAGAGGCATTTACTATACACAGAAATTGATAGTTTCCATTTTGATTTTTCTGAAATTCTTCAAAATTTTATGTAGAGATTACGGCTTATCAGATTTTGATGATTTTGATGTCAAATTAACACAGTCGATTTTTGAAAATTGTTTTTCCTTTTTTTGCAATTTCCGCGATATTTTTCGAAATTTGAAGGCTCATATACCGTGACCTTGACCTTTGATAAGCTTCATATTTACCATGATGATAATAGCTGACGTTGAACTTCTTATGAACTTTTCAGTTCACAACTTCCGATTTTTTAGGGGTCTAAATATGGTTAATTTTGCACTTTTGGAGTGCTGTATCTTAAACCCTCTTTGATTAGCACCCTACAAACTTCAGAAGTTTTATCTATATATTTAATTGTTTCAAATAATATCGCACTTAATGATGTCAAGGGCATATTAAAGAAAATGTTGCAATCGATGCGCCTTAAAGAAAGGTATAGCCCCACTTAATTTCACAACTTTCTTATTTCTTATCCTTATTTCATCAAACTTGGTATGTGTGTGCATAATCAAATTCTAAATTTGATGGAAATATTCAATTTTTGTTGTGTGCATGCACATTACCAACTTTTTTATTTCTTATCTAAATTTCTATCCACCTTCGTTAAGGGAACAGTTCTAGTTTGTTTTTGCCAATTTTTACTTTAGTCTAAGAAACGGGATTTTTTGTGCTAAGCCAATCAGTAATAGTGTAAAATTCTTAGTTTGAGATATTTTTTGAAGGAATTATTCGATTTTTGTACATTTCTAGTACTCCTAAAGACAATTTACATATATTCAAGAATACAATCAACCAAAATGGCGCATCTGTCCCTTTAATTCACTCCTCGACTGTATTTTGGTATCGTGTGGGACACAAGGACATTGTAAAATATCCGGCAATATCTTGATGGACTCATTCATGGTTCAGCATTGTAGAGACACAAATTTAGTTTTTAGGTCAGGGTGACAATAAACGGGGGAACCGTGTGCTACAGGCTGTATAAGTTAATGCCGCTGTCCTGGTAAAATTTCCTTCATTGCACACTGCATAAGCCGACATTCTCTTCATGTAGGTCTAGGAGTTTGTGATGTTGAAAACCCTTGTGCCAATGGTAGTACCTGTATACCGGGAAAAAATATCACTGATGTTCCCAACTGTGTTTGCTCGCCCGGTACAACTGGAAAATATTGTGACGGTAAGTAGAGCCAGGAGTGAATTAAGTCTGAGTTAAAGGGATATTCCGCTTTTTGTAAAAAGTTTTCATTATCGTAAACGTCATAAATTATACCTGAAAATACTTTTAAAATATGCTATTTATATCTATGTATCTTCTTGATAAAGCTGAAGTTGATTTTAAACGGATTATTAAAAACTGAGAGCACTAATTGTTAATAAAGCAGTTTTACCTAGTTTTGGTGTCTGGCTTTATAATGCCTCGATATTATTAGTTGAAATCTTTAGAATAGTAAAGAAAAAGAAAAACGGAGAGCACTAAACTACTATTATAGGCTTGAAAATTAATATTGTTGTTTCTATAATTGTAGATCTCGTTAAGTGTATAAATGGTACGGAGCAGAAGGAGGTTAATGGTGAATTTATTTGTGATTGTTCAAAAAAAATTGTTTTAAAGGGACAGTTGCGCAACGCTGCCATATATATAGAAATATAAAGAAAATTCCTAGTTTGAGATATTTTTGAAGGAATTATTCGATTTTCGTACATTTCATATCAGGACTATTTACATATATTTAAGATTAAAATCAACCCCCTAAAAATGACACAACTGTCCCTTTAAGTATACTCCTAAATTATACTTGAAAATACATTTTAAAAGTGCTATTTATATCTATGTATCTTCTTGATAAAGCTGAATTGATTTGAAACGGATTATTAAAAACTGAGAGCACTGATTGTTAATAAAGCAGTTGGACCTAGTTTTGGTGTTTGGCTTTACAATGCCTCGATATTATTAGTTGAAATCTTTAGAATACTTAAGAAAAAGAAAAACCAAAACCTTAACTACCATTATAGGCTTGGGAATAAATATTGCCGTTTGTATAATTGTAGATACCATCAAGGATTGTAAAAATGGTGCTGAGCAGAAGGAGGTTAATGGTGAATTTATTTGTGATTGTGTAGCAGGAACGTTCGGTGACGATTGTAGTAAGTTCAAAAAAAAATTTTTTTAAAGGGACGAGTCCCCCATTTCAGGGGGTTGATTCGAGTCATAGTTTTCAGAAGTACCAGAAATGTACGAAAGTCGCACAATTCTTTCAAAAATACCTCATACAAAGAACTTCATTTCATATGTCTATTGATGTCTTTCCTATATATGGTCATGTCTCATAAAAAAGACGACTAGTCTTTTTAACTTTTTAACGCGCATTATTCTGGACACACATGTATTTGACTATTTGAAGGCTGAAATTCCGACGGTGAGCTGTGAGCATTATTACGAATTGACTTAGCTAAAAAAAATTCCGTTGCTGAAAAAGTATGATTGATCAAACAAAACTGGTACAACTAACAGGGACTGGTTGAACCAAGTGCATAGACCCCCACCCTTAAAGGAGCCCTACCCAAGAAATATTCCACTTACAGGAGTTATATTGACTTACAGAAGGATCTCAGGGTGAAGGATAATATATATTAAAAACGAAATTCCCAGGAGAGGAGCCTAACCCATTTAAAGGGATAGAGGCGCCAATTTTTTAAACAATCGTATTTTATTGTAAAAAATTCCCGAATCTGAGAAAAAAGTCTGATTACTCAAAAATGGCGAATCTGTCCCTTTAAAGCGACTGTTCCTCATTTTTGCAGGGCGTGCTTTGGACGCCTGCTTTGTTTTCTTACTTTCAAAAAAAGTATGAGTGTCGAGTACTCTGCAGAAACTGTAATTGTTACAGCAACATTAGCAATACATTGGATCTGCATATTCCATGTTTAACTAATGAATAAAAAATGGAACATTTTTTCAAAACGGATAGTGGCACATTGCAAAATGTGCAAAACGTACATAGTTTACTCTAGAAGAAGCAATTTTGAAGCGATTTTGCTTAAGTTTTGAGTTATAGAATTTCGCAAGAATACCCTATGTGATAGCAGTTAAAAATTCGAGTTTTGATATTTCATAGTACACATTTTTAGCCGAATTTTGCAAATTTTGATAAAAATTTCTATTTTTTCGTCGATTCGTCCGATTGATTTGGAATTTCTGCTGCCAAAAGAGATCACTTCAGAAAACTAATTTGCATAATCAAAAATTTTGCATCACTTCCGGTTTGCGCGAAATCAAGGTGCTAACTTCCGGTTGACCCACTGCCGTTTTTTGTGTATGAAGGTCACTGAAACTCTTAATAATAAGTAGATAAAGTTATGACTTTAAAAAGACGAGGCATTTACTATACACAGAAATTGATAGTTTGGTCGTTATTTTGATTTTTCTGAAATTCTTCAAAATTTTATTAAGATTTTGTTGATTTTGATGTCAAATTAAAGAACACGAACAACTGAACGAAGTCGATTTTTAAAATTGTTTTTGCTTTGTTTGCAATTTCCGAGATATTTTTTCGAAATTTGAAGGCTCATATATCGTGACCTTGACCTTTGATAAGCTTCATATTCACCATGATGATAATAGCTGACGTTGAATTTCTTATGAACTTTTGACCTTTAGGGTCACTTCACAACTTCCGGTTTTTTAGGGGTCTAAATAT